CACAAGTACATGGCAACACCAACGAGTAACAAGAGACGACGACCGGCAGGAACAAAACAAGATGCTGTCCAACGATCGAGGGCGTGTTTGGTGGGCGCAATTGGTCCATGTGCAGCTGCAGCAACAGCACCCAACACCCAGGGCAGTACCGTACGGCAACGAGGGGGGAGGCTGGGTTCCGTCAGGTACATGACATACACAAGTTGCCGGGCTTGCAATTTTGATACGACTGGTGGAGGCACCCCTGGTAACACGGTAAGGCGACGTGGAGGTAAGGTACCTTGCCTTTCTTGCCTTGAGCTTAGATTGTGACAGCAATGCGAGGTGTTTGGCACTTTCCATCATGAGGTGGCCATGAAGATGAACGTTGGAAAAGTCTCGAATCATACAATACGCAGCCATCGGGGTTGCTTACGGAACCAATGCAAGCTGGCGACGAATTCTCTTTGGCAGGCACCCTGAAATCCCTCGCTCAGTTTTCTCCTCCATCACCATCGTTCATGTGTAGGTGTCTTCTCGAGTATCAACCTCGACTTTATTGTCTCGGCTCGAGTTGAGCAAACGACACTCAAGCTTGGAGAACGAAGAGAACCATAAGGGCTACTGCATAAGGCCGGCAGCCCTAGTGCTGCTCCTCATCGGCGACCAAAGCCATGTTCTTTCTCAAAACTGCGTCTGTACCCTGCAGGGACGGCTCCCGCGATCGTGACTTTCACAGGAAAAAGAGAGATGAGGTTCCTCCGAGCAGACGGCTGCACATGACAATCCGTGCTAAGGTAGATCGTGTTCCCCGCGATGTCTCGTCTCATAAGCCTGCCTTGCCTTTGCTTTCTGCGAGCTAATAGTCTCGGTCTAGGACCCCACGAGCTTCGTCAACTGCATAACCCGCCCCAACTTCTCAAGTCCCCTAACTCAATGGAATGTCCACTAAGTAGGAACCCAAGCGCCAACAGATCCGAGGTGCCGAAGCACATCTGCTGGAGCCTTTGGTTTAGGTGCCTTTCCCCTGTCGCACTTGGGAGCGGCGTCAGTCCTGTGCCGGAGACTGCGGCCGTGCTCGTTGCATCTGGCCTTCCTGCCTGGGCTGCCATGTGCGCGCAATGAACCACGGCGGAGGGAACCCAAGCAGATTCTACGGAGTACCTCAGGTACCTCAGAGAGCAGCAGCACGGCAAGGGAAGGGCCACATCAGCGTCCCATCGCTTGACCCAACGTGGGAAAATGGGGTCGCGAATGAAATTCCATCCGTGCTAAAGAACGGAATGTGCATCCAAAAACCCACCCGTCATACCGCTCGCCTCACATTTGTCGGACAAAACACACACGCAGGCCACAGGCTGTTGACTTCAATTCCCGGGAATACGGGTCTACAAGACGTCGGAGACAGCTTCAGCTTGCTTACCTTTCCATAGCCTCTCTTCCCACCACTGCTGCGACTCTCACCCCCTTTGAACAGAGTCCATGAATCATCCAATGGTCAACTGTCCATTGGCGCTCGACAAGAAATTGTAGACGCTGGAGGGCCGCCGGCGGTGACTATAACCTGCTGCTAGGCTGCAGAAACCACCACATTTTATGCACGGCAGGGCTCAAAAGTCCACTCTTCGACCACGGCGCCTTTTCCACGTTCCCTCGGGAGGGAACCCTTGGACATAGCCACGCTCTCTTGCATACCGGCTCCTTGCCGCCGTCGCCGGATGCTTGGATCTTCCCTATCAGCAGGGCCCCTTCTTCTCCCCTTTGCGTCTTCTCCGTCCAGCACGAACCCGTCACTCACGTCCCTCGCGGCATCGCCCTCGTCGGGGACCAAGGTAGTTGATACTGCAACTACAAGCGGCACACTGCGTCCCAGTCGTGTATCGACCTCTATTGTTCTCCGGGGTTGCGCCTATGCGGCTTTGTCACACACTTAACTCCGCGACGAAGGAATTCCTGTTTTGGGTTCTGAGCATATCAACACATGCTGATGGATCGACCAACCTTCAGAGGATCATTGTCATGAGCAATCCATAACTGCACAAGTATAGTCTATAAAGCGGCACAATAATGACTACGGGGAACGAGAACAGAGGTGTGTTAGCTCACCCAAGTGCACAATATGCTCTTCGATAACGGGTCACTTTGCTACTGTGCCCTAAATACCTGTCGACTTCAGTCTCAGGATGCCTCCCCACCCTTGTTACCCTGCCTGAAGCTACGCCCATACACTACTCCGTACACATTGTCGACTTCCACTCCCTAAGCAGCCTACCATGACAAGTCGCCCACTGGTCGTTGAGCATAGAGCTTTGGAAAGGACCAGTCAGTCAACATGAGCGTTGAAGAGGTACCTCGTTCCGCAGCCAAGTACCACTGCCCCAGGTCAAACAGCGAGCCGCAAACTGTCTGTTCAAGACAAGTCTAGGGAGCTTGCCCGTTTGAGTGCGTGTCAGAGGACCCGGAGGCGTAAACTGTCTCTGAGTACAGACAGTTGTGGTAGCACGCACCAAGATTACCCACTGAGCGACATCTCCCTGTCCACCACGTGGAGAGATTCAGCTAGGTTTTCGCGAGCTTGGTCAACGGTTCTGGGACTTTCAAGAAGGCATCAATGTCCATGGAGTTAGCATGTTACCAGCCGGCACACACAAAATTCCTTCTGAAGGATCCAACAGCTTTGCAGTTAGCCCCCGTTGGAGCAGCAAAGCGAACGTTAAATGGCTCCACACGGCCATACCTCACTTGCCGGCACACACGAAGCGTCACCTGGCGCCCATGGTATCAGCCCACAATGATGTATTGACTGGGCCTAACTGGGCCTACCCTGTCGCTACTTCGGGTAGCCGTTCCCCTACGCCTTTGCAGGTAGCATCGACAGCACGGCTCGGTACCGATGGAGAGGAGAGCATCGACACACGTCTCCGCGGTCGAAGGCGACGTAAACAACACTTTACATTGCCTACCGTGGGCGGCTGATGAGTTTGCTTCTTGAATCACTTTCACAAGTCTGTAAAGGTTGGCGGACGGGGCATAGTTTTGGACCAATCCGCGGGTTCAACGGCTCAGACCCCCCTTATTCAACACACTTCGCAGGGCTCAAGCTTCGAGAAGGTTGGAAGAAGTGTCTTAGTTCGCACCATTACCATCGGCCCCCATCTGCCACGGATGGGCCCTTGGAGCTAGCGCCAGCCCTTGCCTGTCGAAGGAAATCAGACCCTCCCGGCTATCACCGCAGCTCTTCGGCACCGGTTCTGTTACTCTACACAGTACGCCCTCATGAACAGCAGCGTGAGGTCTCTTGAGTCGAGCTATACTAATCAGTCGAGTCGGTCTCGGTGTCCTCGGACTCTGCCTTGCTTCACCTACCGGTAGTTGGAGGTGATATTACCAGGTCTGTGGTGGCTTGATCGGCATTCGTATTGCCTTGTCGATCCAAGTTGTGTTGCGGCTGTGTTTTCGACCATGCCAATTGGTAGCCTAAATCAGAGTCACGCCCAACGTCCCAAGCAGTTTCAACTCGGATGTGTGCTATTCTCGAGGCGCCTCAGCCGAGATGAGTCTCATTTGTCAGACGGCATTTCGAATCTCCGATGGGAATTCAAAATGTGTAAAATTCATCTAATCTAGCCAAGGCAGCGATTTGGTGTTCGCAAGCTTCGCGTGGTTATGTCATCTGGAGGCGAGCGAGCAGCTACGCGGCCTCCGTTTCAAGAGCATGTCGCGGAACAACACCGCGATGCTGGTCCCTGCTCGGACCGTAACGATATTTGCATTCACTGGTTGGCTAGTCTTTATATACCACAACCCAAGTACAAAATCTCCGCAACTCAGCGCTTGTTAGCCAATTCCTTTATGGTTCTTTGCAAAAACTTCTTTTTCGCCTAATTTTCGATGTTCTAGACGAAGCACGTGTATGCTTCGGGAGAAGCTTGGACCCTGGCTGGAGATCAGCCGGAGCTCCTGAATGCGAAACTTTCCTGCTCGACATAACATAGGTCGCCATTGAAACAGACCGACGTCTATCTGTCACGGCTATGATAGCCTTTGAGATCTCAACGAAACAACGGGCCGCAGGACTCTATCAGGCATTTAGAGGATGGCTTAGCTCTGGGTACAGGCTACAGAGAATTGTACGGTTTGTTGATCTTCCAGTGGGATGACATGCATCAACACCAGCTTTGAAAGCCGTCTTGGCCATTATCCTTCGTAAGGAGGCACCTTCTTTAGGTATGCCTAGAGGTGTTCTGGAGGTTCACTGTATATATACTGTTGCATGATTGGTTCCGGTTGGGGAATCGGAGAGATGCATGTCTCAGGCACGCACCATCTGTGGCCGGCAGCAAGCCGGAAGCCTTGCTGGTTCAGGGCACACTGCGTCTCATTGGGGCTTTTCAATGATCGCCATGGTTCTCAGCTCTACGGCCACGACTGTCACCATACCCTTCTCTCTGATGTCTTGAGATTCTAGAATCACATTGCTTCGCCGAGTTTCCGACAAATCTGCCAAATACGGACCAGACTGTCAATATAGATTCAAGCAAAATACATTGGTCCAGGAACTCAAAGGCCTGGGCGGCCGGCAGTGAAACGGCACGTGCCGGTTACGTCATGCACTGGCCACTCATTCCACGTCACGAAGGGCTTCGCTCATTGACATTGGCTGCTCAGGTTACGTAGGTCGAGGGGGAGGCGTCAGGGCGTACGCGCAACCTGTTACCTCTCGCAAAGCAAGACAAGGCAGGTGAGAGCACGGCAACTTTTGGCCGTTCGCCGCGCCGCCGCCTTGCCAGGCACGCCAGGTTGTGTCTGACCCAGGCTGGGGCATTTAAGGTTCTCCTCGCCTCGGCTGAGGTTGACGTCGACTTGGTTTGCCAAATCAACAACAACCTCACGCACACTGATACTTCTTGATACCCTTAAGCGCACGCAACTGAATCAGAACATTCGTCCAGTCCCATCGACGCATCAAGCATCATCCTCGAAGACTATCACTTTCAGTAGGAAAACATCAGACAAACAAAATGGGTGCCATTTCCGCCGTCTTTCTCATCCTCATCACCATTCTGGGTACGTCGCGGCGACGCAACGTTGGTTGCACGGATAAGCTAGGAGTGATGCTAACATATACTACAGTGCCGCCTGTCGGTGTCTACGCAGTCGCTGGCTGTGGCATGGGTGAGTTGTCCAAAGTCCACGTCTCGTTCAAGGCGGTGGCTAGTGGAGATAGCGCTGACCAGTTCCATAGACCTCCTCGTCAACATCTGCCTGACGCTCCTGGGATACATCCCCGGTCACATCCACGCATTTTACCTCGAATACGTATACTACGACCGCAAGGAGCAGGCGAGGGAGGGCCGTATCATTACTGGCCGCGCGCCGGGTGTCTACAGCGACAACGTGCAGAGCGGCGGCCACGGTTACGGCACGATTGCCCAGCCGACTCACTAAATCGCAAAACTGTGTGGTTACCTAGGGAGGCTATCGGTGACTGTAGCTGCAGCGGAATGGTAGTGCGGCACATGCGCGGCAGTAGGTACGACTATGTATGGCCGGTGTCCTGACGAGCGACATCAGCATCATCTTTGGGAAGGGCGTTCACCTGGCGACAACGAGGAGGCAATGGTCCTTTGGCAGCACGCGGACTGTATGAAGATAAACAAGAATAATACCATCAGAAACTTGACCAACGGCGTGCGCGTGCCTGGCGCGCGTGCAGATGATGGTGCCGGATCTCGATTGCCAGCGCATCCTACCTGGTCTTGCCACCGGTGATTGTGAATATGATTCTCGGGCTATGGAAAGTCGCAGCTCGAGGATGTTGAGGGATACGGTTGAACGAGCAGCTGTAGTTGCATGCGTCTCGCTTGGCTTCCAAGCTCGAATCAATGCTGCCGAATCGACAGGGCTGGGCAGACAGTGCCATGTGGGCGGAACTTATTGATTAAGCCTGGTCGAGACTCGAGGGCCGCTATAGGGTCCACGACCTGCGCATCATTGTGACGGGACTTCCAATTTGCAATGTGAGTATCCGTCTGCAAAAACGACTTCATTTGGCGTGAAAGTGGTGTTGACAATGGTATGGCCACACGTAAGGAAGTCCAGAATATTCTTTTAGATTCGCTTCTCTGTATCCACTCAACGTCAAGGAATTGCTCAAAACTCCCGTCTTTGACAACTGCATTCTGATTCAACGATCGATACGCCGCCAGGATTGGACCATGAGTGCCAATGAGGGGAAAGCTGGCGCTGGCAGTAGTGGTGGTGACTGGTCATTTTTGACTATGGCCCGGGCGTAGAGTTGGCATTTCTGGGCCAGTCGCCGTCTCGCTGTGCTGAGGTGCCGGAGGGTGGGACACTGGGAATTGAGAACGGAAGAGCGACCGGCGGGGAAGAGGACCGTGCCACCGTCTCACAGTATTGCCGTTTGGCACGGTAAAGCTCGCCGTCATTGGACGGCACTGACGGGAGCTCAATGGCAGCGACAGGGGGGGCAGTGTCGGACCACCCTTTGAACGGCAGCCACGACACTCGTGCAGCACGCACCTGCTTCGTTCGCTGGTGCCGCGTTGCTCTAGCCTCTCAAGTGCTTTTCTCTAGCGGCCTACCAAAAGCCGGGCTGTCTTTTTTGGCTGGGCTGTCTGTCATATTGTGTCTCCGGATACCTCTTTTGCGCCTATTGTCACGGTCTAAACTGCAAGTAGCCTCTCTCTCTCCTGCCTCCTGCCTCCTGCCTCTTCCCCCGCCCCAAAAACCCAACGCTACAACCGGATGCAACTTCACCCTAAACATTTGCCAGAATACTCTTTTTCTTGCTTCCCCCCCTTTCTGATTTCCCTTTCCATCGCTTTTGTCTCATTCCTCCTCCACCTTTCTGCTCCTCTTCTCGAGAGAAATCTGCAATCGCTGCGGGGAATCCAGTTTGCAACCTTGTCTGCGCATCTCGAGGCGATCCGGATTGCTTCCTCACAGAACTCGCTCCACCACGCCGCAGTCACGCTACTCGAATATACTACAGTAGACACTCACACACCTCAATCGCCCGTATCTGCCTGTCTCAACTTAACCCATCTCCACCTCCCGAGACCGCTCATTGCCCATTTGGAAGGACACAGTTCCAAAACGAACGATTCGCACATCTGCTAAAACAACCTACCTGCATATTCTCTCCTCGCCCGCGAACCACATCCCGGTCAGGAACAGCACTCGACATATCTCTCTCTCCCACACGCGACGTCCGATACCAGCTAACCATGCCTCCGCATCCGCTGATCTGACTTTTTTTCCCACCCCAAACCCCATCCTGCCGCACGACATAGCAACGCCGACTTACCCTTCAAAATTACTACCCTGGCAGCTCATGCTGCCATCTCGTTGTACATATATTTAGCCCGTCGCGCAATCCGCGACCTCCAGTGAAGATGGGTTCAGGGAAGACCCCTCCTCAAGACCACTCCGGTTCATCTCAATCCCGCCATCATCCCCCAGGTGCTCGTCCCGGAGGTGTCCCCGCGGCTACTCAATTCCCCTCCTCTCTCGCGTCCAAGAGAACCTCGCGAGACTCTATATCATTTGCATTTCCCCCGCTCTTCCAGCCCAACACGTCCTCGACATCTCTTGTTCCTTCGACGGCTGAGGGAAAGCCGATTCCCCTCGACGATAGCACCGCCGCACATCGTACTTCTGCCCTGCGCGAGCTAAACAGCAATTACCCTTCCCGCCATCGCTACGCCAAGTCTACCGGTGCCCAAAGCAGTACATACTCTCAGCCCGTCATTGTAAGGACATACTCTGGGTCTCACAGCCGGCCCACCAGTACCAGTCGCAGTAACGGTGTAAGCGGAGGTGGTCTCGGCCCACGAACCGCCTCGTCCGTGGTGAGCGGCTCCGCAGCTTCTGTACGGCGCATCATAGCTCTTCGCACCACATTCGGCGGGACCAAGTCTGCTCAGAATGGAGGTTTGAGTATGGCTAGAGGAATGGCCAAGAAGCGCCTGGAGGGCCAGGATGCCCTAGCCAAGCTCCCGCCTGTGGAGGCTTATAGCTTCAAGAGCATGATGGCCAACATTGAGGCGGAGGAGGGAGAGAATAACATCAACGCCGACCTCGATCGAATTGCCGAGATATGTGCCCGATCGCGATACTCTTTGAGTAACCAGTACGAGGTTCATGTTGCACCTCACGGATCCGGCGCATCTTTCACAAGCCGCGCATCGTCTTCCAGGCGCCAGCGCCAGAGTGCTGGTCCAACACTTGAAGCCGTTGTATCGGATGAAGAGCGCAGACATAAGAAGCGACGGAGTACTGGCAGGAGGAGAAGTATAGCCATGGGAACCTTGGAGACGATTATGTCTTCCAGTCGGTCTTCCGAGGAGGACAAGTCGAAGAAGAAGTCGGCCGCAGAGATCACCGCCGAGGTGCGAGGCAGGGCCGCACGCAAGTCTTCAGGCAGCACGACGCCCACGTCTTCGGTCAGCGAGGGCGAGGGACAGTCAAGCAAGAATCAGAAAGACCAGCCGCCGCCACTAGTCAGGAGGAAATCCTCATCATTCGCCACGGCCATGTTGGAGAGCACGCGACAGTCCGTGGCCACCAACAAGCCTGCCTCGCCCCGAAGCTCAGCAACAGCTTTAGTCAGCGAGCCGGCTTTGCCAAAGACGTCGACAAGGCATCTTGAAGTTCGGACGGATGTCGACGAGAGCGTGGCGCATCGCCATGTCCACAAAGGATCGGACGAAAGTCATCGAGCCGATACATCTGGGCCCCAGCACCACGAGACATCAGCCCAGTCTGATCAGACGAAGACACCGACGGGTCTTCTGGCCGGACTGACTGGATGGGTGCCGTGGAGATTGCCGCCTGTCGTAGGACTTGGCTCAGCGTCTGCTCAAGGCGGCGTGTCGCGAAGCCATGCTGAGGGTAGCTTACGCGAATTGCTCAAAACGGCGGAGTTCAAGGTCAAGGGGAAGGGCGTCGAAGGTCAGTCATGAGACCTCGGTGCATCGGATGGCATTGCACATTGTGGGCAGCGAAGCCCGGTCCGATGCTGACAGGCGTGCTGCTGAGCACTTTCGAACAAAAGAAGTGACATGACAAGGCGCCACTGGGCTTGATCGCCTCGGTATCAAAAAAGAAAAGAAAAAGGACGGCGAGAAATGACCAAAAAGAGACCTGATTCTGATACCCACATATAAAGCGGAAGGCTATACACAAAAATCACAGACCGGAGACGATGACCCCGACAGAATAGGGGTTGCGGCTCATCAAAACTGTAAGCAGTACAACTTCACACAACAACACGAAGAATGATTTGACGACTTTTACGATACACACACACACAAGAATGAGAGGGCATGATATTTTAGGAACGGGCTAGGTCAAAGAGGGAACGGTGGCTGTGTTTAAACTATTTTTCAGATTGAGAATCGAGATGTATAGGCGTTCAACCCGTTTAAAGTACTGCTTTCGGCTCTTGTGTGAACCAGGACGTGATGTTGTCAGTTATCTCAAACATTTACCACTTTCGTTGCCTTACTTGCATCAAGGTAGGCGAGAGAGAGCACGGCTACAGATCGGAAACATCACAATGGCCATCAAAGTAGTCGCAGTGGCAAAGTTCCGTCATCATCATCGTCCCCTGGTATATTCTTCCTTCTTACACTACTTCGAATAAAAGGTTGACCACAATTCTCGGAACAGCTGCTTTTGGAGACAACTCACTCCAAGCCGTCTCGCGATGATGATGATGATAAGCCAAGCTTGCAGGCAAGGCCTCATCCCCCTCCAACCCTTCCAACCTTTCGTCCAACCCCACGCGTGGAAATCCTTCCAAATGAAAATGCCCCCCCAACGCCATGCCAACGCAAAATAATGCAGAAGAGTAAGATAAACAAGAGGTGAATTGGTGTTGGTTGGCCGTATCAAGCTCATCAACGCCACCGGGTCTTCTAGGCCCTGGGACGCTCGACAGCAACCGCCGGCTTCGTCTCCACGTGGACCCTCTTAGCGTCGCCACGGTCGTCGTGAGCCTCGGGTTCCCTCTTACGGTCCCGGGGCTTGTTGTTGTTGCTGCTGTTGCTGTTGGTGCCGGTGTCCTTGGCCGATGCCGCCGCCCGACGCGCTTCCTTTTCTTTCCGCTCGTTCTCTCGTCGGAGCGCCTTTGACTCAAACTCGTGCCAGTCGCCGTCCAAGTCAGCAAGCCTAGAAAAATCAGTTAGCACTACATTGCAAGAAGCGACTCGAAAGGGGAAAACTCACTCCACGGCCTGCTGCGGAGGCGGGTCCTCGGTGGTAAAGTACTCATCTGCAAGTACCTCGGCGGCCGACGGTCTCTTTGCGGGGTCGTATGCAAACATGGCGGCCAAGAGTCGGTATGCGGATGCGGGCAGCCTGTCCTGGTACTTCTGGGGAAAGGTGTTCGCCCGCCGGTATCCGGGGCGCAGCAGTTCGAACCACGGCATATCGATCAGGCCTGGCCACTCTGCCTTGTTCGGGGTTCCCATCACGGCGTAGATTTTATCCAACTGGTTGATCTCGCTTCCATCACCTGGGAAGATGGCATGGCGGGTAAAGATCTCGACCATGACGCAGGCGGCACTCCAGACATCGCAAGCGGGGCCGTACTGCGTCTCACCAAGAAGCAATTCTGGCGAGCGATACCAAATGGTGATGACTCGGTTAGTGTAGTCCAACTGGTGTCTTTTGGCGTAGAAGCGAGCCAGACCGAAATCTGCCAGCTTCAAAACGCCGTCACTACTAACGAGGATGTTGGCAGCTTTGATGTCTCGGTGAAGAACGCCTCTCTTGTGCAAATAATCGAGTCCATCAAAAAGTTGCATCGTCATGTGCTTCTTCTGGGCCGCGTCAAGCGTGAAGGATGGATGATTCAAGATGCCTGTCAGGTCGTGTGACAGGTATTCGAAAACCATGAAACAATCGTTCCGTTCCACCATGACCTCCTGGAGCTGGACAATGTTTGTATGCCGCAGTGACTGGAGAAGCTTGATCTCGCGGACCGCCGTAACGGGGAATCCGTCTCTCTCACCCTCCATGCGGATACGCTTGAGCGCAACAAGTCCTTTCGTGTAGACGTGCAAAGCCTTGAAAACCTTGCCGTACGTGCCTGAGCCTACGACGGACTCGTTACCGGGTTTGCGGAAATAGACAGACTCTGACTTGATGAGATCGTCCGGAAGCTTCGGTCCTGGTTTCAGGCGCTTCATCGTCTTCTTGATCTTGCGTGTTCTCGGAGCGGTGGCCTGTCGGGGCCCCGGAGGTGGTTGCCTGGGATCCTGGCGGGCCCTCGCCGACGCCGGTTCGGTCGGGGCACTCCGAAGAATGTCCTTGTCAATCTGCTTATCCTTCTCGCGGGCCCTATCGCGTTCTCGATCACGACCATGGTCGCGGTCACGATCACGTTCGCGATCTCTGTCTCTTCCTCGGTCTCGGTCTCGGTCACGCTCCCGTTCACGATCTCGTTCGCGATCCCGATCCTTGGAGTCATCCTGCTGTGAGGTATCCCGCTTTGCAGGAGCGTTGAACTTTTGAGAAATCTCAGGCTTGGGGGCCGTCGGAGTGGGCTTTGCAGATGCCTTAAACGCAAAGCTGAACTTCGACGACGAAGATGAGGCCGACTGGGCAGCCGGCCCAGAAGGGGGAGCCTTTTCGGGTCGCTGAGCATTGCTCTCGGGAGCCTTGTCAGACGGTGTGGTATCTTCGACCTGCATGTCCTTGGATGGGCGGAACGGGTTCTCGCCGTCCTCTGCATTGTCGCCAACATCGGACTTGCTACTCTGAGCAGGCGTTGCAGAGTGATGGGACTTGATGTCATCGGCCCGAGAGCCGGTCCCCGAGGTGTTGGATGTCCATTGTGCAGTGCTAGCACTCTTGAAGCTGTTGCCTCTGTAGCCGCCTCGACCAGGTCCGAGTGGGGTCCGAAGTCCCCCACGGAAGTTGCCTCGATAATTGGGATGAGAATAGTTCGTGTGCATAGGTCCTGTCGGGGCGGATGGCGGTGGCGAGTAGGAGGGATTTGGTGTATAAGCACCCGACGGTCCGGTGGGAGGACCATAGTTGGACTGCGGATACTGAGGGGGATATTGACTAGAAGATAGTGAGCAAGAGTGTGACAGCAATTTGATGGAATGTTGTACGACATACTGCGTTGGAGAAAATTGAGAACCCCAGTTTCCCCTGCCAGCACCGTATGGTGACTGGTTTGGGGATCCGTTGTATGAATTGGGGGTTGGTTGCGGGGATTGAGAAAACTGTCGTGGGTCGCTGTACTGTTGGCCGTGGGCGAACGCAGGCGGCCCCTGAGAGACAAAGCCCCCCCGATGATTGCCTCTGCCACTCATGCTGACCTCCACGCTGTTGGCACCAGAGGACGGTTGAGACTTGGAAGTAACTCGGGATTCGTCGCCTTGTTGCCCTCGTCTACCAGACCCCCTACTAAGGGATCGAGTGGAGGCACGGGACTGGGACGGCCTTCTACGCTGCCTATCTCTGGAGCTGCGTCGTGGTGATGCCGGGCGACGGTCACTTCTTGTGGATGTGGAGGGAGGTCTCGCTGGTGACCTTTGACGATGCGGCAGCGGAGATCGGTCTCTCCTTCGACCAGGAGACTGCTCACGGCGGCGTGACGTAGAGCGATCACGGTGATCTCTTCGTTTCTCTCTTTCAGGCGAGCGAGTCCTGCTTCGATGCCTTCGCCGACTTCTTTCCTTGGGCTTTGACCGGTATTCGCGGCGGTCGGGACTGGGTGACCGTCGAGAGGGGCGTGGCGAGCCTCGTGCACTTCGACCAGTGTCTCCGGGGGCTGCTTCACGGTGATCACGACGCGGGCTGTTATCTCGTCTGGGCTTCTTTCTCTCCGTGGCACTCCTGTCAAGACTTCGACTCCTTAATCGCTTCGAAGATGGAGACGCGGCGCCGTCACCTCGCTGTGCTCCTCGACTGCGATCTCGCGGGTGCTTGGCTCGGGATTCGCGCCGCGACTCCCCAGTACCCCTGCCACGAGATCGATCACGAGAGTCTTCCCTGTACTTGTCGCGACGGGAAGGCGACGGCGATGCTAGACGAGGTCGCTCTCTGCTACGTTCGCGTGTTCTATGGTGGCTTCGGCCAGAAGGCTGCGACTTGTCGGGAGGGGGGTCGCGCGGTTTGCTGTCTGGCAATCTGTCTGAGTCTCGAGGTCGACGTGGTGGAGGCGAAGGAGATCTGCGGGAGCGTGTCACTTCTCGACCAGCTCTGCCTCGGTCTCTGCGCTCATCGCCTGATCTGCGGTCGTCTCTCATGGCGACATGTCGAGGGCGGTTGCGGTGGTAGGACTCCATCGCTCCAGCCGATACGATTTGAGTTTTTAGGTATGAGCACGTTGCCTGCCGAAGTTTCCCCGATAACGTGATATCGCCGTCTTGTAAGCGTGATATGCAGTTGTCGGGGTAGAGTAATGTGGTGCCGCCAAACCACCAGTCCGTCGACGATGAAAAGAAAAAAGAACGAGCAACGACGCAGTGTGGAAGATGCAAGGCTGTGCTCATAGTGTAGAGCCTCCATAAGCACCAAGCAATCCCGCTCGATGGCCGCGGGTTTTTGCGGTGTCGGCGGTCGGCGTATCGGCGGGTGCTGTCAAATGGCATACGCAGCATGCCATAACCACCACCAAAAATCGCTGGCTCAGAAAGTCCGTGGATCTGATCAACGTCCCCCACAGTGGTGCACTTGCAGAACCACAGCCGCGTTCCTTCTACCTCTTTCCCCAAAGTAGTTTTGGCTCGTCTGATTCAATCGGAACCCAGCCAGCCTGAGCACCAGCCTGAGCACCAGCCTGATCCTTGCCAGTCGCGAGCCAGGCTTTGTTTGAGGTGTTATCCCACAAACCTCTAGCAAACTATCTGTCCTCCTTCTGCCTGTTACCGTGCAAGAAGGCATGAGGTCGAGGCAACAATGTCACTATGTACGATTTACGCGCCGACACCCGCCAGTTCCTCCTCCTCACTCTCAGGCCCGCAAAACCTGTCTTGAAGCACAACATTCAGAAGCGTGCGGGCAACTGGGCCAGACGCTGGGTTGGATGCCGACCTCTACTGGCGTGCAGCATCTGCGGTGGCAGCACATTGCCACGATCTTAATGTCGATAGAGGGCAAGAGCATCAAGGCTTCGACAGCGTTGGGGCATGGACAGTCGTGACCCGCACATGTCGCATATGAGGAGTTGGTTTGGCAACTTCGGCAAAAAGCCTTGGACTTGCCTCTCGACATGGTAACGGTGGGTGCTTCAATGATGAGCCCTTTGGCTGGGCATGTCTTTGGCATCAGTGCCTCGCGAAACCATCCGTCCAAACGACCGAAAACCCCATGCCGCACTTATTGGCCTGCTCTAGGCAAAGATGAGTTCCGCCGTTGGGTTCATTCCTTGATCAGCCCCTATGATTGTCCTTGAACTCGAGATTAGCCATGATGGCCACGGTATGGCGTAGTAACGATCAGTGAGCATCGATATCGTCAGATGGGCGCATCGGGCGCATCTTGGGGTATGGCGAGGGTTGCTCCCTCTCCGTCGTCGCTGTAAGGGAGCAAGGGTCCCACAAATGGCAAAATGGCAGCAGTGGCATAGCCATAGCCGCGACTGAATGATGGCAGATCCTGCTTTATCCTCCACGATCAAGAGCTGTGGCCAACTATTGACTGCACCAAGCGTCAGATATCGCCATTCCGTCAGCCCGTAATCCCAGGCACCCGTAGATGCAGAGTCCTCCCATTGTCAAAAAGTCCGTCGCGGCGATTTCAGGACATGGCGCGCAGTCCTTTGTGATCCAACATGCACCTTCGTGCGTCGTTGCGGGTTGGCTAGGGTTGGTTAGTCGTGATGATTCAAGTTGCATGTGGTTGACGGAATGTCTGTCGTGGGCCGAGCGGGAAAACCTTGACAGCGCGCTTGCAGTCACGTGATGGCTGCGTTCGGATTAGGCGGGCGGGTGGGTGTCACTCGCTTAGTGCATACCTGCCTCTGCTACCGACCTCGTTATGTGCAGCCTGACCTTACAGCTCCTAGTTGACGATGGCATCCCTTTCGTTCTTCTTTGGTCACAACGTTCCGCCCAAAATAGTTGATCAGTGTCGAAGAATTCAATCGTAGCTGTTCTCCCATTGCCAATACATCTCCTAGCATCCTATGTAGGCAGGAGATACCACCAAGAATGCATGTATCCCTATTGATTCTTGGGCGAGTTCGAAATGGGCAAAGCAAAAGAAGATTCGTATGGGTAATTAAATCAAGCTACCACCTATCTCATAATGAGATTATTTGTCCAAGGAACGAACCACGTATAGCCGTCTCTTTCTATGCCTCATTTTTAGAACCTGCCAAGGGTTGTCGAGTGCCATCTGGCCTAGAACAGCTTGGAAAAGGAGCTCGAATGCTAGTTAGGCGTCAAGGCTCACCTCGGAATTCCAAACCGTCTCTCATTTCCCACCTGCGGCTCAACGGGGCCCACGGAATGTGGCCCCGGGTCAGATCCCCGAGAGCTAGGGCCATCAGAGAGACTATGTGACTGTGGCAGTTGGACTTGTTGGCAGTGTTGTCAACAACAGAGAGGAATGTCGGGAATCCTGCACTATGCCTTTGGTAGTTACACTGCCCTCTTGAGCTACAGTCTCGACCATAATATCAGCTCAGACGGTAAGGCGAGCATGGTTCGACCCAAGTTTGGGACGAAGGTTGTTGAAGCTTCGGTCCGTTGTCGTACCAACACTTGCCAGCTTCATCCCTAGATACAGGACGATTTCCAAGTCCCGAGCGGGTGAGACAGAGTATACCAACAACATTGGGGGTCGCAAGAGTAATCAAAGATTTTTGGCTCTATCAATTCGAGTATGACAAAAGTTATTACGTTTCTAATTGTCTGTTCTGCATTCTCAAACTTTTGCAGGAAAATTATCAAGTTGTCGGAGATGCAGGCGTCGTGGTCCGCGTCTTTGATCTTAAGATATCTTAGCCTCGTAGCAGCAATGCATACTTGGTGGAGTCTAAGTGGGTGGGATAGATCTCTGAACGACCGTTGAAAAAGTGGTAGCTGGGATCGTGCACTAGGATCTGACGATGCGTTCTGCGAACTGCGTCTAGCTGGAAAGCAACGAGGAGTGTGTGGGAATTCGGACCGAACGTCCTAAAGCGGGAGACTGGATCTGATTCTGGGGGAGGTGAGCAGAGCCTCTGCCACAGCGTACTTGGATGATCAAGATCTCTAGTCATGAAGGTGGAGAGAGATCCACCATCCGTGAGATATTCTGAGGTCCCTGTCTTTGTCAAGACGACTCCAAACTCTCGACAGTCTATTGCACCCAGCTATCACGTTTTGTATGACCTGTCGAGCTGACCAGTAGTCAGGAATGCGAAAGCCCGGCGCCTAGTCAACCACCGGAGTCTGGCAGGTGGTAGAATCAAACATTTCAAGTGATGTAACGGATCGCCATCGCGGGTGCGTCCGGATACATTTCCAGATGGATGTGGCCCAGATGGGAGTTTTGGGCTGCGTCGCCCGTCATTTACCCGCGGTGTCTTGAATGTTGATGTCTCGAAGGCCAATGGGAGAAATGAGAGTAGAAATGTGGCAAAATAATCCAAGGTCAAACCTTTTTTTCGCCAGGAATTGAGACACCACTTGGGGTTTTTTCTTCTCTACTGCGCAAGTACTCTGCTAGATTTGGCAAATCTGGGCTAACGATTTCCCATCGTCGGCATCAAAACCGAAGCAGGATCTTTGCGTGTGTCTGCAAGCTTTAGGTTGATGGACTGATTGGCCGGCCCCGGGATGGGCGTTCCTTTTTTCGCTTTATCTTTCGTCACTGGGACAAGAGCTGCCAAAAGTTGCAGATGGGGGAGAGTCTGGGGATGGGCAACCCCGCAAAGTTTGTCGTCATTCTGACTAAGCTGGGCCGGAGAAAGCTCACGAGAGGTCCCCACTTCCATCAAAATTGCGTGAAGCCTGGCGTTCCCAGGCCGCCATTCCACGCGTAGCCAACCCCATGCAAGTACGCCAGAGGTACATCTGCAGACACTTTCTGCCCAGCACAAGCTGCGCTCTTTTCAATGTTGGATCATGATGGCAATTCCGATACAAGAGGCAAAGGTGGATGCAACAGGGCCCCTCCGCTGCGATTTCTCTGGGCAATCAAGGAGTTGGGCGCTTATCCTATAACGGAAGCGGGATAATGCACGTTGAATATCGGAATCATTAGGATGCAGGAAGAGTTGCATTCGGGAAGGCAAGGCGAAAGTCAGCGACGGCGAGTCCGTAGGAAGACTTGGAGTGAGAGAATAACAGCGTTCAGAGGGGGGGACATGACAGTTGGAGAAGACGAAAAAATACACTCAGTTGCACACCCGGCGCAATATGGGAAAAGAATTTGTTGAGCGAGGTCGCGGTCTGGACTTGTACCGGCCTGGTATTCCGCGACCAAACCCGCCCAAAACTGCAGAGTGGATTCCCGCTAGTGGTAGCTTCGGACAGGTCCAGGGGCCCTGTGATATCCGCTATTGTTGTCCCACTCTATCAGTGCTTCCTCCACGCTGAGCGCGCCCATCGCACCTCGCCTCACCCGCACTCTCCAGTTTCCAGTTGACAAACCATTCCCATCCCCATGGTGGAAGCCAGGCGTGGAGGGAAGTACCTTGCCGTGCTGCCCTCTGTCCCTTGGCTTTTCCACTTCTGCTACTGTCTTGCTTCTGGCCAGAAAAGTCTCTACATGTCGACGCCAGTTCGTATCCATTAGGCATAGTCAAGATCAGCCAAGATACCTTCAGGTAGCTTCCGCGAAAAAAAAGATTGATACATTGGGGTTGGCGGGCTGTCAACACATTATCAAGGTATCGCCTCAGCTGTCGTTAGCGCGAACAGGAAAAAGCTGGGCTGGCCACTGGATGGGGGACCTGCTGCTGCATTGTCCAACCACGCAACCACACCACCACACATCAGACCAGGCCTTGCCCACGCGCTCTCGCTCGCTTCTTTTCCCAAGGCCCAAGGACCTTCGTAGCTAAAACCTTTCTTCCCCGCAGACAACTTCTCTCCTCCTCCACGCCAAAAGAGCTCTTGAACTTTTCTTTATCTGCCGTCGCCGTTCCTGTCCAACTTTCCCAAGACCTCCCACACCTCCCATTGTCTGGAAATCAAAGCCTTGTCTTCCGACCCAAGCCATCTCGGGAGCTTCTCCAAGTTCCGACGTTTTCACATTTCCACCGCGTCGCCTTGGTTACGGGTGAGTGCTTTCTACATATTTGCGTCATCCAAGCTCCCATTGAGTTTGGGGCCACGATGCAAACTTCCCAGGCTCCTTTTCTACCTTCGTTCCCGCGCCCAACCCTCATTTCGAAGCTGTTTGTCTCTCCCACTAACTGACTCTTCCCCCGGTTCAGCACTTCCAGATTGCCCTTCAGTCACCATGTCCGACTTCCCCCAAGGTCAGCGGGACAACAACGACCGCCCTGCCCGCGATGTGAAGAACCATCTGCTATTCGAAATCGCAACCGAAGTTGCCCATCGAGGTACAGTCCCCATGATTCAACCCCCCCTTGGACCGTAGTCTCCGCAGTGGGCTGACCCATCCTGTGTAGTCGGTGGTATCTACTCAGTCCTCAAGTCCAAAGCTCCCGTGACCACGGCCGAGTATGGCGATCGCTACACTCTCATCGGGCCCTTGAACCACAACTCGGTAAGTCTGGAACCGCGAGCTGCATCGTCTACAGTCTGCTTACCAAACAACAGGCCGCAGTCGAGGTGGAAGAGTTGGAGCCCACGAATCCCGAGCTTGCTGCTACGATTCAGTCCATGAGAGATCGTGGAATTGGCATCCTCTACGGCCGCTGGCTTATCGATGGCGCTCCACGAGTCCTGCTCTTCGACACAAAGACAGCTTACCACTTCATGGATGAATGGAAGGCCGACCTGTGGAACGTGGCCAGCATCCCTTCGCCGCCCAGCGATGACGAGACAAACGAGGCTGTTGTTTTTGGATACGTCGTCGCCTGGTTCTTGGGAGAGGTAAGGACAATGCACTTTCCCCCCAAGGGACAAAGCTGACCACCATGCTTTCTGCAGTTTGTGTGCCATGAGAAGAAAAGAGCCGTCATTGCGCATTTCCACGAGTGGCTCGCCGGTGTCGCTCTGCCGCTCACCAAGAGACGCCGCATCGACGTGACGACAATCTTCACTACCCACGCAACCCTCTTGGGAAGATACCTCTGTGCTGGATCCGTTGACTTTTACAACAACCTCCAATGGTTTGATGTTGACGCCGAGGCCGGAAAGCGTGGCATCTACCACAGATACTGCATCGAGCGCGCTGCCGCCCACTCCTGCGATGTCTTCACCACTGTTTCACACATCACCGCCTACGAGAGCGAGCACTTGCTCAAGAGGAAACCCGACGGTGTGCTGCCCAACGGTCTCAATGTTACCAAGTTCTCCGCCATGCACGAGTTCCAGAACCTGCATCAACAAGCCAAGGAAAAGATTCACGACTTCGTCCGCGGCCACTTCTACGGCCACTACGACTTCGACCCCGAGAACACGTTGTACTTCTTCACCGCTGGCCGTTACGAATTCAGAAACAAAGGTGTCGATATGTTCATCGAGTCCCTGGCCCGCCTGAACCACCGCCTCAAGAGCGCCGGCAGCAAGATTACTGTCGTTGCCTTTGTTATCATGCCAGCGCAGACCACTTCGCTCACCGTCGAGGCACTCAAGGGACAGGCCGTCATCAAGTCGCTGCGCGACACTGTCGATGTCATTGAAAAGGGCATTGGTCGTCGCATCTTTGAGCGCTCCCTCAAGTGGCACGACGGTGACCCTATGCCCGATGACAAGGAGCTCATCAGCGCGCAAGATCGTGTTCTCATCCGTAGGCGGCTGTTCGCGATGAAGCGCCACGGCCTGCCCCCCATTGTTACCCACAACATGCTCAACGACAGCGAGGATCCCGTGCTGAACCAGATCAGACGTGTCCAGCTCTTCAACCACCCCACCGACCGTGTCAAGATTGTCTTCCATCCCGAATTCTTGAACTCGGCCAACCCTGTCCTGCCCCTGGACTACGACGAGTTCGTGCGCGGCACGCACATGGGTATCTTTGCTTCGTATTACGAGCCTTGGGGATACACCCCGGCCGAATGCACAGTCATGGGTGTTCCTAGCATCACGACCAACCTGTCCGGCTTTGGGTGCTACATGGAGGAGTTGATCGAGAACTCGAGCGACTACGGTATCTACATTGTGGACCGCCGGACCAAGGGCGTTGACGACTCGGTCAACCAGCTCACCAACCACATGTTTGACTTTTGCCAAAAGAGCCGTCGTCAACGCATCAACCAGCGTAACCGTACGGAGCGCCTGAGCGATTTGCTGGACTGGAAGAGAATGGGCATGGAGTACGTCAAGGCTCGCCAGCTGGCACTGAGACGGGCCTACCCAGGCTCGTTCAACGGAGAGGAGGAGGAAGACTTCATCCCCGGCGTCGAGCAGAAGATTTCGCGACCCTTCTCGGTCCCTGGATCTCCTCGCGACCGCACGGGCATGATGACGCCTGGCGATTTCGCCAGTCTGCAAGAAGGCAGGGAGGGCTTGAACACGGAGGACTATGTCGCCTGGAAGTTGCCGTAAGTTGACGATTGCTGATGATGTGACTCGACATAGCTAACCCGAATTCGCAGTGAGGAGGAAGACCCCGATGAATACCCGTTCCCGCTTACGCTGCGCGCCAAGCGCCCGTCGGGACCGGCTAGCCCTCTCGATGGAGTTCAGCTCAACGGTAATGGCAACTAAAGCATGAAACGCATTGCCAAGAAGTCACGAAGCACGCCTAACAGACGAGCAACGAAAGTGGATGGGAAATGTACAAAATGCTGTCGAATGCCTACTGGTTGTTCCTGCACGGACTTTGCAGTATGTGTGTTTGGTGGACGACGAGTCGCGATTCACGATTTTATATAGGGATATGGACGGATGTAATGGAAATGAGGAGGAAAGGGTGGGAGCATGGCAACAAGGATAAGACTGAGAGGATGACGGGCTGGCATTGGGGTCGAGTATGGATATGTACGAGCAGAGTAGCATATTTTGAGCATTAGATTGGTTCTCGGACATTGTGTGTTGTCTATCAGGCATTTTCTTGGTTTGGTGCATCAGGATCGATTGGACATGAAAAGATGAAAACTGGGTGGCAGCCGCGGCTGGCGGGAGGCGCAATGCATCGAGTATGATCCGTACGATATTTCATAGGTGCCGGTGGTGCCAAATTGTTTCGTTTCGAGACGTGAGGATCGGCTGGGCACCAAGGGTTACGATGATGATCAGTGAATCGATGCGTGCTCGGTGTTGGCTACGCAGTAGAGAGATCAGGGGGGGGGATTGCGGACCCCCTGAGCTGACGGCAGCAGTAGCCAATCAGAGACGGCGCGGTCCTCCTCCCCCACACCAGCGGTTTGTCGACTCAGGGGTCCCTAGCGCATGTAGGGCGCCTGTGGGTGGGGAGAAAAGACGCTGAAGGCACGCCGCACGAGGAGGGCACTCTTAGTCGTTAGCACGCATCAAGGAGCCACTAAAGACATCCCCTGGACGCCGGTTCCCGCGGGCGCAACTCTTTGTTGCGCAACGAGGATGTGTCTTTGTTAGACGGTCGTTGGATGTGTTGCTCGCTGTGTTTCTTTCTCACTTATCATATACTCGGTGTTCAAGTGGGGGGAGGGCAGAGGATAAAAATAATGAAAAGTTCAGCCGTTGTCAACCTGTCACGTTTGCGGAAATTTCATCTGAAGTTTAACGAGAGAAGGGACGCAATGCATTGGATGACCTTTGGGAGGATTTGACTCGGCAGGCCATCCTAGACATAACCGTTAGCAACTTCTCCAAAAGCAGAAAGGGCTGCCCTTCTCCCACCTTACCGAATGCTCCTGCCTACTGCGTAAGGTACTTCTATTAAGATAATCATAGCCGGACCCCTCGTACCTTGCGGATACGTCGTTGGGCGCGAGAGAGCGAACAAGACAGCGCGACATTGACAAAGGGCGGCCGGCCACCTCCAACAGACAAACACCTACTACCTACGCCCATCGTGTGCCATTCTAACTAAATCAATCCTCCACTCGCACCGTTCAAACTTTGGCTCGCCGTAGCGTTGGACCTGCAGAAGCCTCACGCTCCCGCCCCCTACCCACACCCAGACGCCGCTTCCCATCGGCCAGTGCGACGCCGGGACCCGTCGACCTTAATATATTATTCCCCTGATACCACCTTGGACAAGTCCTTTTTCCCTTCCTCCCCCTCTCCCCGACTCTGTTCTTCTGGCATGCAGCTCGCCGTTCGGCCTCTACAGAAGATGGGGTTCTTTCGCAGGGATAAGGACAAGAAGAAGCAGCAAAAGGGTCACCAGCAGTCAAAGTCCCACGAATTCACAGACTCCCAGCTGTCAAAGTACTCTTCCCAGGTCCAGCAGAACTTCCGCAACGTCGCCTCCCCGCCCGGCGCTCACATCCCCACGCGAGCATCCGCCGCCCTTTTCCAGAGCCTGCCAAAGGAAATCCTCCCGCGAATATTCTCATTCGTGTGCCCCCACACCCAAGATGAGACCTACGAGACGTGCGAGACGAGCGCCATCTTTGACGCATGCATGCTATGCGACCTAAGAGACCTCGCCCACTGCGCGCGCGTCTGCTGGAAATGGAACCAAGCGGCCAATGCCCTGCTGTATGTTCTCTTCTTTCGTTTCCCCTTGTAGCAAAAGCCGTGCTGACCATCTTTCGTTCTAGGTACCACAGCATCCGAATCGACGCCGTCCACTATTGCCCCCGCGAGATCTATCTGTCAGAGCAGCGCAAGCGCAAGACCTTCTTCAAGCGCAACGCCGATCCCGAAGATACCCCCACCGCCCGTCTGAAGCTGCTCTGCAGAACCTTGCGCGAGGATCCTACACGCTTTGGCTCAAGAGTCCGATACTTCAAGGTCCCCTATATGCTCCGCGAAGCCGCCACAGCCGACCTTGCCCGCATTATCCACGTTCTCCCCAACATCGTCTACGTGGACCTACCCGAGGGCCTCTTCGCCGATGAGCATGGCTACGCCACGTTGAGGCTCGAGGTTGAGGCTAGATGCCGAGACCTCCGCAAGATGACGTACCGCGCAGGCGCTGAGAACAGCTTGTCCAAGCTAGCGCACGGCGGTATCTGGCAGAATCTCGAGGTCCTGGAGCTGATCAAGATCAACATGGATCCCATCGTGCTGCGGCATGCTCTGGCCAACCTGCGGAAGCTCCGCGCGCTAAAGGTCATGGAGTCGCAAGCCTTCTCGGACGATATCTTTGCCCGCAGTGAAGAATTGCCTCCGTTCCCGCCCCTCGAGGAGCTGGTCCTAAGCAATACTCCAGCCGTCACCGCCCAAGGTTTGGTGGACTACCTGAGCCGGGCTGATACCCGCAACCACCTGCTCGTCTTGTCCCTCCTCAAGACGGGCGTTCACCCGGCGACACTCGCTGACATCTTGTCTGCGGGCACAAACCTGCAGACCCTGGCCATCGAGGCCTCAGTAAGCGACGCTTTCAAAAGTGGACCCCGGACGCGTAGGCTCGCGTCGGTCTCTCTCGAGTCGCTACGTTTCGAAATCACGGCTTCCAAGTCTGCGGGCCCTTACTCCAGTGTCACAGCTAGTTACTACACTTATTTGGCCGCATCGCTCAGAGGCAACGGCATGCCCAACTTGCGGTCAGTCTACGTGCTGGACGAGTTCTTCCAAGACGAGCTCGAGGGTCTGCCCCGTCCCGCCGCGGCGTTTTCCTCCTACGGCGCCAACGCTCGTCCAAAATCTTCGCACACGCCCGGAGCCAACCGGCCAATGTCCGGTCTGGGCCCCGGCAGCGGTGGTCGCGGCGGTCTCGCGCCGCCCAGCAGCGCCGGCATGGCGATCCCTCGACCTTTCGCTGGGGCTTCTCAAGTGCGCGCCTCGCAGCGCTTCAGCTCAACGAATCCTTTTGCCGGTACCGGCCCACTCTCACACCCTCTCACAATCTACTGCAAGGCGGACGATGCTCTGGACTGGTCGTCAGTGATGCTTCAGCCTACGGCAGCACTAGGTGGCGGATCTCGCCATCGAGGAAGCATGAGCATTCACGGCGACCGGCCAATTAGTTCCTACGGTCTTGGAGCCGATATCGCGGGATCAGGCTGGAACACGGCGGCGGCGAGGAAGAGTGTCATGGTGGGCAACGGCGCGGGTATGTTCATGGCCATCCCGAGCCAGAGCACCGGTGGCAGCAGGGGAAGTGACGAGGATCTGTGGCCGAGGCCCAGCACGGCGAATAATGAGAAGAAGTCGAATGATCTCTGGCGGTGATTTATGGTGGCGGATGACCAGAAATGGCAGTGCGGTGGATGACACATTCACCGACGGAATGTTCCCCTCAGGAAAGGGCAGGACGCGATGGCAGACCTAAAATGAACAAAGTACAGAGAGACGTGTTAATGACGGGAGGTTTGGACAGGGATTTGGGATCTGGGATTGCTACGGAGAGAGGGAGATGCCGACAGAGAGGGTCATCCCCAGGCTTCCGACCAAAAAAAGAATTTGTCCTTTTCTTCTTTCTTTTTTCCCCCCTCGTTTTCTTGTTTTGCGAGATGGAAATTCGGGATAGTTAGGATGCTTTGCGTCACAATCCGTTTGTGACGAGACAATACCCAGATGGTTTGCTTACGGAGTAGATGGGGGTGGAATTTCAAAATACTTTTATTTTCCGTCATGTTTGTGTTTAGCCGATGCTTCGTGATGTTGATCAGGTGCTGAGTGAGATTGTTGATGATGTACTCGGGGCACTGGGAGTGATAATGTCCCAGGATGAGTATGCGTCTCTCCGAGGCCATGCTGGAGATACTGGGTTGCGATCTTTCTCTGTTCAAGTAGGCGGACGGTACGGGACCGCTCATCGACGGCATCAAAGCTGTTACCCATGTTGCCCTAGGATGGTCATGGCGAAGGAAGACCATACGCTTCGCAAGATGTGTATCGAGAACCCTATTCAACTTTGCTTTCCTACACTTCTTCGCTTGATCAAGATAGGTATACGGCGGGCATCCTTTCTCCTTTGTGAAAGTCCCATTGCCTCTGGACTGGACAAGGTAGAGGGAGAGTGTGTGTTTAGACTGTTTGGTCAGAAGGTCCTGGCAGAATTGGGCTTTTCTTTTTGTGAATGGGAGAGCTAGAATTGTACTCTTGGTAAATGATCCTTCCCGTGGTCTGGAATGGTAGATGTCCCATATACTTTGACAGAGTCTGTTTGAACCAATGTTCTTGTTACCAACGTTAAGCTGGAGGATCTTGAGAAGCTCCCAGCTGGAAGTTGTGGCCATTGAGTAAACCCCCTGGAAAGGCCACACAGACGTCTCTCTACTTGCGCTCTGTCACAGTATCGATCTCAATATAGCCAATCAGTAGCGTCTTCATCCTTCTGGTAAGTGCTCTGCATTGAATGAAATCATCAATATGACTCTCCGCTGGTATAAAAGTGTCCTTTCCGGACCTGGTTAAGCACATGTGACGACCAGAGGCGAGAGTGATATCGTCCATCGAAACTCTTTCGGCCATGCCTTTCCCTCCTTGCAGGTTCGCCAAAAGTCACCTATGCTAAACGCGCAGCTGCGGCAAACAGGAACGCGATAGGTGGAGAATCAGACTCAGCGGCCCCCTTCTACTGTCTGCACGCGCTTGGCAGCACTTTTTTTGTATTTCTTCTTGAATATGAGAGCGTCATCGAGGGTCCTGTGATGGAGGCTGGTGTAATGCAAGGTCGTCGTCGTTACGTCCATCAAGTCTTGGCTGGACTTTGTTGGGCTTGGATCTTAACTATGATCCAACCATCGAATACGAGCTCGATACTGCTGCTGTCCTCTCGTATACCCTTAGGCAGGCAGGCTTCACGAATCCTTTTAACTTGCGTCAGAGCCAAGACTATAGGAGAAGGCCAACGCTGGGTCTAGGCAGCCAGGCAGTTCTTTTCTTCCAAATCCCCTCCCAAAGAGAACTATTAGTGCCTGATAACCAGCTGCGATACTATTGGTATATATGTACATTATCTAACTTCACATGAATAACTTTCATTGCTGACGCTTCAGCTACGTCCTGGGCCGTTGTCCATACACTTCCTCATTGACGCTCAAAAGATGTTAGTGTCGGAACATCGCAATGTCTCTTCGAAAGAGACAGATCTCTGTATTTGGCGAAAGATTAGGCATGGGTCGTATTGGATTGACTCGCAATTAAATGCGCCTCCTGGTGTACTACAGCGATTTTTTGAAAGATATATATCCATGACCACTGACGGATCACAAGTCGAGAGGTTCATTAGTATGCTCGTGTGAATGCTGTCCACCTCTGCGTCTCACTTCTCCGGACTTGATACTGGAGAGACTCTCTCTCGTGGCGCTACGGGGTCCTCTCGCCGTCACTTGCTTCTGCCCATCATAAGTGGCACAGTGTGCCACGTATCGCAATAATCTCCTCCCTCTCCGCAGTGAATTTTGGTCCGTTGGCAAGGGCTGAGCACGGGAGCTGTCTATGATCCAATGGTACGCATTTAAAGAGTCAATTCAGGCCTGGATCGGGGAGAAGAATTCCCCCAGCAGTCCGGAACGGGCGATCCTGCTTTGGTCCAGTTTTGTATTAAGCACGATGGTTTCGTAGCCGCGATCAGAGATCTCTTTTTTCGGTCGATACTGGAGTCGATTACGGACATGCGGTACTCTACTTCTCAGCGTCACCACGCCCTTTAGGAGACTTCCGTGATATGACTTATTCAATAAGGTGTACGCTCTGAAAGATAGGTAGCAGCTTTAGGCGATCTGAAGCTGACCCCCTTCACAAACACGGCAAAGCAAAAGAATTTCTAAGAAATTCCGTTGGCAAAAGTCCAATAAGAGGAGCTAGATTGCTCAGTCCATGAATATGACATGATGAGACTAGTTGTGGGAGACATCCATCATCACAGTCATCCAAGCCATCATCATTAGAAGATCTGACGAGTGGGCTCTCCTGTTGGGAAAAGTAACATCGCCGCGCTGGATCACGAGTATATCGCCGCGCAGAGAGATTGGTCATGGCCTCGGTAGCGACGCTTTCTTTTCCAGACTTTAGAGGCCTGATAACGCCGTCTTGAAGGGGGAGATGTACAAGAAGTAGCCCCCTGCAGACTTTACTTTGAGGCGTGAGCATGTCAATCTCTTCCTCAACGACACAGAATCATAGGATTAGCGGATCGACTGCACCACCATACCGGCGTTGCTGACCTAGATTACACCATACTGCCCCTTATTCTCGCCAGTGGACAGAAGGCGATCAGAGGCAAGGCCGGGACTCGCGTTTCACGCAACCAATGCAGCGAAGCCTCTCCTGATTTGACTGGACGGGTGATGACTCCATGCTGAGCAATAAAACTAACACCAGTCTACGATGAAAGAAAGGTGCAGGCTGAGGCGTATCTGGACGGTCGGTGACACAGACCAGCGGCTCCCTTCAGCGTGCAACATGACTTGTAGCCGCCTTGTTCCAGACCATATCGCGAACGTCGGTGGGAAAACTCGAGCTCTGCTAGTTCTATGGTGACATGTTTGAGATTCTGCAGGGCAAAACAAGCAGTGCCATATAGGAACGTCACCTCACCGGTAGTATGTATTGTGCGCTTTCAGAAGCCCAAGAAGAGGCTCGACGACCTGCACGGGGAATCCGTTTATCCATGCGAATATTACGCCAGTGACCTTGTACACCGCGGAGTGCAGCATCCATATCCAGTCGCCGTCTGGTCTTGCGTTGATCGCGATGGGAGACGCGACGGCGTGACGGTGACTTGCTCCATATGGAAGGGGGATACCGAGGGATTTTCAGAGAGAATGTCAGTGTCGACTGTGGCTTGTTCAAAGCAAGCAGTCTCGTCCAGCTGCCCGTCGTCATTCAGCACGTACACTGTACCTTCTATACAAGGACTCCAAACAGGTACCGCCCGGTGCCGGATACGTGAAGAAGGTATTTAAGAAGACCACGATAACTTCTAGCGTATCCGATGACGGCTTCCGAGGTACTGCCATCTCCTTTGACGATTCGGGTGTCGACTCAAGGGACCATAATAGCGAGCAGATCAGATACGATTTTTACACGCGTACGTAAATCTCATTAGTGTATATTTCCCTTCGCGTTTTATACCTATCGGCAACTGTCGGCACATGCTCCACCCGTATACGACCCGCCAGCATACTAACACGCTCGGTTCCTATACATTGTCAAGCATCCCTGACGATAAGATGTGCCTTCGTTGTAGTAAGCTTCTGCAGCGTGCGATGGCATATCCTACCATGGTCTCTAGGACTGCGTGATACGGGCCTGTACACAACCACACACCCCATCTCCTACGAAGACTGACCAGCAGAACCCCTCCCACCATGACACGCATGGCTGATTTCTTGTGGTGCGGAAGAAGCTCAGTACTTGGTGAGGCGTCTACGGAGGCACGGTTCTTTCACTGCCAAACAGACTCCTCTGGATTACGGCTCCGAGGATGCTACGCTTCTGCGTCTCTCCTTATCTTCTATTTGACGTGATAAATCGCAAAGTCCTTTTCCACGCCAATATCTGGGATGCATACCTGGCTATCGAATCGATGTGGCCCAGTTTGTCCGTTGGAGATGGTTTCCACTGGGCCGGGACAGCTTTCGCGCTGGGATTCTGGTTGGGAGCGAGACTGGAATAACGGGAAGATGAAATCCGCAGTCCGCTCGGGAATACTCATCCGCGAGCCTTGAATTCTCAGAAAACTCCACGAAAGCCTATAATAACGTCTTGAGAATTATAGGATTTCTCGATTGCGTTGCTAGTATGAATAAGGCCTCCACCTTTGGCCGCATATGCGTACGTTAAATCTAAGCCATGGGTCAGGCCCCCTGCACTCCATTCCTTCAAAGCAGGATACAATGACATTTTCGAGTTACTTCCAGCTTCAGAACACCTTGAAGTCATGATGGAGTTGTCGGCGTGCTACCTTCATACCGGTTGGGAATCAAACTTCGTATGCCCGAGGCATCTAACAGGCGTCTAATATCTCGTCTGGCTACAGTGTCGAGACGTATCAAACATACATCCCCAGCCGTCTCTAACAAAAGCCAACCAATATCTCCCAATCCTCAGTTACCATTTTAACATGCGCTATTTCTTCCCCTTTCTCCCATGTTCCGTCCGAATATCTCTAGCTAGTGTTCGTCAGGAATAAGCAACTACACACATGCCATCTCCGCGCTCTCCGAGCTTGTCACCTCGAACGCGTCCACCGAGCCCCAGACCAAATCAGCAAAGAAAGCATCTCGTACAATATCAAAGCCTTGTACTCCCACAGGTAAAGTCTCAATTAAAACAACCCAAACCCAACGTTCTTTTCAGCCGCAGGGCGAAGAGCTCGCCTCATCACTAGCGCGTTTGAAATCAAAAGAATAAGCCGCCGCTTAATTCCCCGAAGTCTCTCGTTTGACTCGTAGTTTCTTCTCTCTTCCTCTTTTCCCATCGTTTCTTCTCCAACGCTGTGGTGATGAGACATTCATCAGGAACGGGCCGCGTTGGTGCTGGCCTTTTTTCCCACACCGAGCTGAACGCTCAATTCACTTGACACGACCTCACCTCCACCTCCACCTTTGAACCTAACGTGCCTACCTACCCATCTACCTACCTTACTCTGAAGCAAACCAGAATCCAGACTTGTAAACCCACGTGTAAAAAAATGCTCAGGTCGAGCACCAGGGTCCAGTCCAGGCAATACACCCACGCCAAGGGAAACGCATCTCGTTCGTCAGGGATCCTTTCCATCACCCGATACTTCCGTCACCAGCCCAACAATGCACGATACGCGAAAGCCATGATTCTACTACCACATACTCCCCTTCGAAATGCAACACTTGATGGAAGCGGATTTTGCAAAGAGGCAGGTACATGCCTAAATTGTGCGCAATACTGTGTGACCTCATCGTCCTACCAAAAACAACAAACCACCCATGCGGCGTCGTACATCCTCCCGCGACGATGGGCTTACCTGCAGGTCTGAGGAGGGGGTATAGGGGAACTTGAACACAGCATGCGGACGGGCGTGCCTGCTTACCGATTGCTTGCCAGGGCCTCTGACAATCCGGCCCCTCGTTCTGGCAAGAAGGCTATGGTTTAGAACAGGGAGGAAACGAAAAAAAAAAACCAGGAACGCTACGCATGGCATACGTAGAACCCCTCTAGATCTACCAATTCTAGGCCAACTAGTTCCATCTCCAAATACAATCGCGAGGCCAACTTGCTAGACCCTGCATCCTCCGGCTCGCGGACCCCGAACCAAGATGCGGCACGCAACGAACCATGGCTACCCATGCTGCCATGCACAGCTGGCAAGAAAGGCTATATGACGCTATCAAGCCTCATTCGCAAAGAACCCTGGTTTTCCAATAATGTGGACAAAATCATGCACGGTGATTCTACAAAGTCGAAGAAGGTTGGAAGGGTGGTAGTAGGGCATGATGAATCGTAATGGAAGAGGGGAGAGGGGGGGGGGGGGGGCGTCCAGCGATAAGCGACGTCACGGTGCAGTGTCCCCACGCAGCCCGACCCAAACACACGTTTCTGCCAAACTACTACCGGTACGCAGCAGACTGCAGTTGAGTACGCAACAGCAGCAGCAGGCTGAGAGCATAGCCAGGGTTCCTCAACTACCGTCGATCGACGGCAGGAAGGGGGAAAAAAAAGAGTTGCGCTACTCCAAAAAGTAACATCCCGTCCAAGTTTGACAATATGCCATCTGCGCAGTGCAAGTCCGGGCTCTGATGCCGTGATACTGTTACACTGTAGCACGCATGTACATGTGGCGTCGGGAACAAGGTCGGTACTACGGATAGGTATTCATTCCTATGTCCCTAGGCTCTTGCGCAGGAGCGAATGAGACTAGTCGAAGCAGCAGAAGCAATCTTGAATTGCGAGTAGCCAGGCGCGAGAGAGAAAAGAACGCAAGAGGAGGTTGGAAGCGAAGGAGTCAGTGGATCCTTTGCCGCGTAGTGGGAGGTTGGTCGAAACGTAATGTCTCTGTCTTGTCTCTCGCGTATTAGTTCATTGAGGCGAATTACATTCAAGAAACAAAACTGTGCAACGAACGAGATTCGTGGATGCGGTTGGTACCTGAGTTGACACAATCTTTGCATTGCAATGAATCGTTGGCTCAAACTTGTTCACTGCTGTAGTCGCTGGAACAGGTTTGAACAAGACGTCCAAAGCATCAAAAGATGCCCAGTGACGTCGGAAAAGGTTGGTGGTTGGGCTGTTGGATGCAGCAGGTGGGGGTGTTGCAGGGATGATGTCATGTCGCCGTTTTTTTGGCTTTTCCCTTCCTCCATCTCCCCCGAATGAGGTGGAGACTACAACACCGGCGGTCGGGCACGGTGCACCGCCGGGACCAACACCGTCGGGCGGGGGAGGGGAAAAGGGGAGATGCGGAGGCGGAGGCGGAGACGGCGATGCGGAGAAAGCAATCGGGGAGAACCCCTACTGCTTGCCTCCGATCGACATGAAATTTGATAAGAGTCCGTTTCAAACTAATCGAAACGGAGACTCCCTTGGAACTTTCCATCGTGCCATCGCTGAACAGTGCATGATCCATGCCTGAGTCGCCGGCGCCCGGTGCCATTCGGGTCTTCGCGACGAGTGCAACCCCCAGCGTGGGATTTGTTACGGTTGGACATGTTTCGATCCGTTTCAGACCGAGACGGAGGGTCTCGCAAAGCTGAGGTGTTGGCCCGAGTGTGAGACGATGGACGCTTCTATCGTCATGCCTTGAACGGAGACTACATCTTGCTATGATTATTAAACCGTGAATCGAGTTTGTTCGCTGCGTTGCGGCAACTCAACCCCTTATGTTGCCGTGTTTCTGCAAGGTAGGGCTGATCGTCACCGAGGCAAAGCGTTGCATTGTGCCATGAGATATCAGCAGCGTCTGACCAACAATGAGATACTTTGATAGACAGTGCAGGAAACGCCGCAAGGCTACACGTAGGATCTGGAAGAATGGAAGCTGCGCAGTCGCATGTCAGCACTGCATGAGCGTCAGCACCATAACCTCGTCAATCGGCTACCCGAATAAGCTCACAGTATAAGCCACAAGAGAGCTGCAGATGACCTACCTATCGTCGAAGCCACTGCACTGTCCATTGCTCACTGATGGGAGCCCTCTCGGCATGCCCATAGGCTACTTGCACACCAACGTCTTGCTTCTGCAGCTGACTCAGTGTGGTGGGTTGACGACGCTCTCCAGTATTGACATCCGCCCACTCGGATGATCTCAAGGTGTTTGGCGGTGAGCTGTGTTTGGCAACTTAGGACCTTCCCAGGAATCGTAGACCCGGCCGCCATTCCAGATTGGTGTCGACGAGTTGACAGTCCTGAAGTTTACGACATGGTCCGAATCCTGCCCAGGAAATTGGGCCGACTGCGCCACTACTGGGCAACTAGCCGTAGGCAGGCAAATTTGATCTTTTGTCCACCTGATAATAATTTCGGATTCTCGTGGCCCTGGACAATTTGCCAAAGGCGCCAAAATCTTGTTGACTTCAGCAATCGATCATCACCAAGCGCTCGGAGGATCGCAGTCGAATCCGCGGCCGTAAAGTGTCAGAGTAAAGACGGCATGCATAGCCTCAACATCGGACTGCTGACATCCTATCTTGGTCTTTGTCAGCCTCCTGGCAAACACATGCATGGCCCGTCCAAAGTCAGCATCCGAAAGAAGAGACGAAGCAGGAATCTTATCGATCCGCAAGCGAGTGGGATTTTGTTTTATTTCTCTGCGCGTTAGCTGCAACATCAGCTCTACTGCGCCATTCCAGCCGCAGACTTCGGACCACCATCTCAAGTTTGTTCGAGTCGGCGCGGACACGGCCCCACACCACCGGGAGATGTGCGCCGAGATGCTCGCGAATCAGTCTGATAGCCTGCTTTGGATATCCCCCGCATGTGTCCATCCCACGCAGCTGGTAATAGTGGCGTACGGCTCATACTGCGTAGACATGCCGTGCTATTCTCCATCAGCAGTCAGTCATGTCCTGCAGGCTTTCGCGTTGAAACAGGACCCTGTTGCACATCATGCATCGAATGTACAATTCGTGATACAAGCCCGTAGCGCTCGCTTACTACCGTCCAATGACCAAGACGGCTCGGTCAGCGGCAAGAGAGATGAGACGGCTCGCCACGTAAGGCTGGCCGGAAGATATTGCATGATATTGCATCTGCTATCAACGGAGAGCGGCAACATGGGATGGGGTTGCCGCGTCCCGAGAACATCTTTGTTTCTGTCAGGGGCCATGCGTTGCGGGACGTGTATCATTCTCCGGATCCCGCGACGATCATACAAAGTCCGGCGTGGCGGACAGGCTTCGCGATGGCTCGTCAGAGGGAGCCAGAGCTGGCAGATGCAACCCAAGGAATATGACAGCATATCCGTAGATAGCCATGTGCTCCGAATCACGGCCTCCAGGGGAGACTCAAGAGCTACATGGAGGAGATGCATGGCATGTGGCGGCTGGTGGAGGCCAGTCCGCTGATCTTTGAGCAAGTAGCAGCACTGTACGAACGAATGTGGTTCGATCGCAAATCAACGGCCATGACTCCGCTCTTATTCGAAATATCGCCGCTGGCATACCTACTTAACCCAGAAGAAAGCCTTTGTTGAGAACGGGCCGCTCTCGTGTCTCAGACAATGGAAGCCACAATTCGGTCCCTCGAGACCTTTCTAGAGACTGAAGGTGACTGACTCTCGACGCTATCACTCTTCCCCATCTTTCTCTCGCCATTCCTTCGCAGCAGCAGGGAAGAGGGAAAAATGTGAAAGAGGGCCGTGATACAATTTTAGAAAGTTGGACCGGTTAGTACCTTGCCGTATGTGGGCTAGCATCATCTCGCATAGAGGTTGGCGTGCTTGTCGATTTTGTGGCTGGAATTCTGAGGCTGCCGCGATTCTGACCGCTGAGTGGCCCGTTGAAAAACGTTGACTCTGTTCAAGCGCCAGGCGGTGATCCGTGATTACCAGTGGAAATGCAATTGTGGGGATGGGAGGCCAAGAAGGTGTGGTTAACTCGGCCGCGACATGTCCACCAGAGCCACTTCTAGTGGGTGCGCTAGAACTGAGAGGTTGACTAGTCTCATTGTGAGGGAGTGGGAGACTGAGGGTGCAACCTGGCGAGCCTGTTCTGCGGGTACGGTCCACGGAGTTTACTGGGTAGTCGTGGATATTTCGTACGCGAGACAGTCGGTCTGAAAACCCGGCGGGCCCTCTTCCTGTGTGGTAAGGGTGTTGGAAGGAATGGAAGGAAGAGAATGTTCGGCAGCAAGGGACAGACAGTCAAGGGACCGAGGAAGTGAGCCCGTCAGTCCGCAAAACCACCGGGTTCAGGCTCGGAGTTGGTCCGTTGCTGATGAGCCAGGCAGACAGATGATGAAGAGACGGAGACGAAGGAAGGGACACGGCGTTGAATATGCATCCATCGTGTTGGAATTCATCGCATCTTTCGAGGTCCCCACTGAGGACGCCCTGGTCAAATTATCGTCTGCCGGCGTCAGTCTGGTCTTGGCCTGGCAGCCGATAGCACATGGGCCGATGAATGGGCCAAAATGCGCCGCGCCGTACGCAGTAAATCTGTGAGAGAGAAAAGGGACCCTCTTCTCATTCCGAATCATGATTGCTGATGGCCCGTTGCCCGCCGAGCACCAGCGATGAGCCTTGCACTTCGTATCACGTCCCATACGAATAGCGATATCACGCGCATGGCGATTGAGTCCTTATTGTGTCGACACCCCTCGCTACCCCGTACACTGTGTGCGTTGCTTCCGGCCAGAGACGGACGCGGTACGGCCTTGTATCTCGACGGCTGCGGTACGGGAGCATGACCCCGATCGTCGTCCGGAAAACGTTGAGCATTGCCAGTCGCCAGAAACACTCTGCGCTTGCAGTCGTCCCGAAACGAATCGCCATGCGGTTGCAGGGCTTTGCTTTGGCATAATGAAGCACTTGAGCCGTCAGGAGCGTTTGGGTCAGGGCCCTTGTAAAAAAACGCTGATAAGCTTGTCTCGTCCCCGATGGCTTGGGTTTGTGCGTTGCCGCACTCCCAAGCTTTAACTGACAGCTCTCGTCCAGTGACAGGCCGTGAAGCTCACAGACCCAACCTGGTGAGCGAATGACCGTCTCCCAGCCTCGACAGTGTCTGTCGCAGCACATCAGACGAACGGCAGGGGGTTGCCCGTTCCAAGGGCCGTGACTGGCCCAAAGAGCTCAAGAAGCAACCCCTCGTTGCTGGAATTCGGCAAGCTGGCGACGAAACACTTGGAAAGAATAGCGTCAGTCCTTGCCCTTGAACTCGCTGGCGCGCCTCAGGTTTGAGATCGTTTCTCAGACGGGGCAAGGCAGCTGCAGGGCGCGAAGAAACATCTCTTCTCTCGCGTGCTCTTCTGCTGCAAGGGCGAGCCTTGCTCTTTTTGAGGAAACATTTATCGCATGGCGCTGCACGCTTAACCTACTGGCGCAGACACTCTCATCATTGGCATTCCCCTCAGCGGCACAGAGAGAGAAAGGCGAGACGGTTGGGGCGAACTGAGTTGCTTGCGATGGCCAGGCGGCAGAGAGACGAGACAAAATGTCGGTCTGGGATTCGTGAGGCAAAGAGCGACGAAAAAATAAAATAAAAATTGTCCCGCATCTGGCGTCCTAGGGATACGGCGGAGAAAAGAACTGGAACCGTCGTTCACGATGTGATTCGTGCAATCCGTAGGGAATCTGCCGACCCAACGTGGTGTCACTTTGACGATGCAACGCTCTGTGCCTCGCATCTGTCCAGTGAGATGTCGGCAGCCTCTTCGCTTCCAGTGAGACAAGCCGTTTTTTTCACTCTCGAGTCTTCCCTTTTCTAGCACTTGCATCGATATCGCGCGGCACGGTGCAGCAGGTACCAGTCCAGATCGCGGGCCAGGGTATCGAATGTCTACGACGAACCTCTGGAGGGCGAAGCGCACACATGCTGCGTGCTCTCAGAGTTCCACACCATTGAAGCATCTTGATATTGTTCCACGGCCACATGATGGCGCGGAGGCGGTAAAGCGTGCGTCTTCTGATAGCCTGCGCGCCGGACAAACAATAACGTTGTTGCTGTCGGTCAATCTTGGCTTCTGCATGCCATTCCCGGAAGACATCGGCCGGGCCATTGCGAAATCGCACTTGCGGCCCTCCACCTGGCCCCTTCATGTTAACAGACAGATTGCATCTTGATTGCGCCCGATACGGCATCTCGTTGTCGTCGTCGGCCTCATTTAAAGTAAATGGCATTCTCCCCCAGAAAAGCTCGGTCTGTCCGCAGACCATGGCCCTGGAGGCTGGGCAGGCCAGGCCGCAAGGGTCTTGAGCTGTTTGGACCACGGGTTCGTGATGCTTCTTTTTTCTGGCACACTCGCGTACATGCAGATGTGCGGTATCATGGATTGCCAAGGGCGGAGGGGGTTGCCTGCACATCGATGATGGCCCGTCCTTGCCCTGCACAGCCTGTAGCCGGAGAGCGAGGAGCCAAGACATGTTCCGCCGTGAGCCCGAAACATTGGAAATGTTTCTCCCTTTTCTCGGGATCGAATTGACTTGCTCCCTTTCAGTTCCAGCGGCGGGAGCGAGAGCATCCGTCGGGTCGCATGAGAAAATCGAAGAGGACGTTTTCATGCGGGCAGGAATAGGGTTCCTAACGCAGACGGGACTGGACGAACATCATTTGGCTCCGACGGCCGTTTCTGGTGGTCCGACAGAAGGCGGCTGCCGGCGGCCCCTAAGACGGCAAAGGGGCGTCGGGTCCAATCAGCCATCTGGAGGCCCCTACGGTCTACCAAAAGATGGAAAGATGCCTCCAATCACGAAGACGGTGGAGGCGGATGTAGACGCAGACGCTTGCGTTCTTGTCGCTGCCCTTGGGCTGAGGAACGCTTTTCCTTGGCCGTCGAGGAACCCCAAGATGTCGTCCCTTTGGACAGCAAAGTCGACCCCTGCCACCGCCTCATCTGGTGGTGTGGAGTTTGCTGCTGTGATCGTGGGTGTGACCAACCCCCCGGTCGACTGCGAGAGCGATAGCTTGACGAGAGGTGTGGGGTGTTTGGCGCTGGGAAACGTCGACAAGCAGGGAAAACGAACGAGGCTCATGATGGGATGACGAAGAGTGCAGTAGGCAACATGCCTCGCTGCGGCTGTTACAAGTCATGATGTCTGGCAGAGTTGTGGAGGGCACAGTAAGATGCCGGCCACCAGGAGTGATGGGTCGTGAGCGGCATCAGGCTGGTGGTTGAGGGATGTTGAGCAGATGACAGCATGGGCTGAAGTGCCGGCGATTAGACTGGACAAAGTTTCCACACACTCGTTCCTCCCTCCAATCCACAGCGACGAGACTATCGCGAGGGCCATAACCGTGGCCGTGGGTAGGGCGGCTTGGTCGGTTTCGTCTCTCGTCAGTCTCGGTAACCCCTCGCGTCGGCAGACTCGCCTTTCTACTCGAGTGCTAAGAAACGCCATGCCTCATGGAGGTGACAGCCTAATGGAGACATCTAGAGAGGTGATGGCACGCCGCGAACCCCGTCTAGACGAGGTGTATTGTGCGGTGCGGTGCGGTTCAGGCATCGTAGATGGCGTCTGGTCGTCAATAGCACCCTTTTACATGAAACGACGCACTTTAGAGGCAATCCTCGCAGCAGCGCGTGGTCAGGATGGCATAGTGCTGCAAGTAGGAAATGCGGTTGTGAAGCAGAGTGCCAGAATTGGCCAAGGCTGGACAGCGCGGTCCTGACCTGAAGGGCGAATTAGAGTGTGGGGCCGTAGATTGTGCAGTCAATGATGAAGGGGCACGGCGTAGGAGATGTGCCAGGTGTGGCCCGTGTGGGTAGCGTCTGTGATGCAAAGTGTGGTGGTTGTGGTGGTGGGTGTGCCTGGTGCTGGTGCTGGTGCTGGTGCTGGTGTGGTGTTTGGCGTAAGGAGGAGAATTGGTGGTGTAGGGGGTACGAAGCATTTCGCGGATGGGCGTGGAAAGGGAGTGGGTGAGGAAGGCGTCTATCCGTAGGAGGTGCTCCGTAACCCGTTAGTCGTTACTCCGTCCTCCATGCCACCATCGTCGTGTGGTCTGGGAGAGCATGGCCGTGATTGTAGGCTCGATGTAAGGTTTGGTGCGGACACCCCACGGACAGGTTGAGAGAGATTGACGGAGAGCTAGGCAGGTAATTAGGGTGAGCAGTACGGACATCTGTGTGTACATGACAGACTCACAGCCATCGATTGAGCCACAATCACACGAGGTGACTGAGCACTCTGGCTTTACTGCGTACTCCGTCGTTGATGGTGCTCGGGAGACTGGGCGTGGGTGGTGGATTGTGCAGAGGAAGTGCCTTAGCTAAGGTTGCGAGGCTCGTAAGGTGTCGATTCTCTTGAGTCTGATGGATCATGGGAGAATACTACTACATAGTACATAGGTACGGAGTATGGTAGGTACGTATCTCATCTTGCAGAGTGGACAGCCAAAGGAAGGAGCGACAGGGACTAGCGGGGACTTGACCTCCCAGCCCCTGCCTCGCTTTCTCTCGCTGGCGCTGCTGCCACAAAAGCCCCCCGGTACATTGTACTGTGTCAACTGCTTACAGGAGCACTGGGTCCCCGTACCCAAGTGGACCCCGTTCAGGATGAGGACCTGACCGGGACTAGGGGGTCACTGGGGGGGCAGTCCAGGATCAGGACATGGGACTTGGGGGACATGGACTTGGGTGCAAGTGCAGAGTGCAAGTGGAAGTGCAGGAGCACCTTGGAGTCTGTCTCTTGTCTATCTGGCGCCTTGCAGTGCCATCTGTGCTCTCTCTGTCTGTTTCTCTCAATCTTTACCTCTCTCTCTCTCCACGGAGTGTCGACCTGTCGTATCCCACACCCCTCCCCCCCGGCTACCTATTTGGAGCCCCCGATACTTTGTACTTCGTACCCTACTCCGTACCCCCCGTCCCTTTATGTGAGTCCACCCGAACAGAACATATCCCATCCCGTCCCCAACCCGTCCAAGTGTGCCTGACCGACCCGGCCATAGATATATCCTCCTCTGCCCTCCCACCTCACACCCCTAGGTGCTTCTTGCTCTTTCTTTTGCTTCACCAAACGAGTAACTCTGCATTACTCCTCCCTCTGAACATCTTCTCAACTCCAAGCCCATATCACCGGCCTGGACACTTACACCAACCTACCTGCTAGTCAGCTGTCACTATTTGCTGTAGACCAGCTGCACTCTGCACTCGAGAGTCGACTGAAACCGCCCAGTCTCAGATTTCCTCGAGGGAGATCGCGAACTTCACGTCACCGCCAACCATGTCTCTGGCCGGCCAGACTATGCCCGCAAGGGAGTCGGTACATTCCAGCCGAGAGGACCGTGTTACCTCCACCATCACAGACAAGAAGGATCAGTCACAAAGGACGTCTTATAGAGACTCGCTTCCCAACGCACCACGACCATCCGTCCAAAACGACGACGCCCCGAACGAGAACGACAACGCAAAGATGTATGGCGACTACTACGAAGAGATGACGGGTCCTTCCCCCAAGAAGACCCAACCCGCACAAACGGCACCAGCGCTACCAGCCAAGAGCTCATTGCGAGCTTCCAGACTCCTCGACGGCATGGCCCTCAAGATCATCACAAACCAACCTACACAAGCAGCACCCCAAGAAGTCTATCTCTCTTCCGAAGAAGAAGCTTCCTCCTCCGCCGACGAGTTTTCAGACTACGATTACGAGTCCGAGAGCGCAGAGTCCGCCGACTCCCCCGTCCGCAGAAAGAGCCAAGAGGACACTGCCCGCGTCGTGTCTGTCGTCTTCGCCGGAAAGCCCTCCATCATCGACCTCCCCTCAACAAGAAGGTCCGCCTCGCCCGAGTCCATGGAGTCCAGCAGGCCCCCGAGTCGCTTGGTTATCTCATCAACAGCACCCTCATTGCGCAGAATGTCCACCTCCTCCACCAGTGGCGCCTCCTTCTCTCCCGTTTTCCACCCACCCAGGTCAAGCAGCATGATGATCACCAGCAGCATGCTGCCCAAGGAGAAGCCTTCCTTCCTCAGCATCGACCCCTACGCCAGCAAGCCATTTGACGAGCGGGCCGAGGAGCCGCAAGCGGAGCCCGAGAAGCTCGAGAGACCCAAGACTCCCACTTCCCAACTATTCAAGAGGACCCTCAGCATTGTCCGCAAGCGCAGCCGTCCTCAGCTGAGAGACCTCGCTGCCAACAACTCCTCTCGCGACCGCCTGTCCTCGCCGTCACTGGGTCACCTCCCCTTGTCGGCCCACGCAGACATTAGGGAAGAGCCCGAGCAAAAGGCACCTTGGTCCGCCGTCAGCTACCACGATATCATGCGTGCGGCCAAGAAGAACGCGCAGAACCAGCCTCCGACCCCATCCACCCCCGTCGCTCAGGTGCAATCGCCTAGCTCACCGGCGGGCAACACCCGGAGCCGAATCCTCAGCGGCTTCACCAACCGCAGAAAGAGCATCAAGATTGGCTAGTCGCCGGTCACCCACCAAAAGAAAAAACTGAAAAACCAAACACAAAAGACACATTCGATACACAACGGCAGGGCACTTTGCTTGCGTTACTTTTTTTTGCATTCGGGTCGGGACCATTTGCTTTGCATGCACGGCGCACGAACGGGGACCGGAACTGGATCACGGCGTTTCACATTGACCTTCGGGTTACGGACTTGGGGCTCGGCCAACACTCCTTTCTTCAATTGGCGCAGGGCAATCTTCTTTTTTTTTCAATAACGACGGAACGAATTTCTTTGCGTGTACAAATGGGGGTCGAAGTAATGTGTAAAGCAACAGTGGTGGTGGAGGAAGAGGAACCAAAAGCCGCAAGAGCATACCACAAAAGTGTATGATCGCTGGCAATGTACCAAAAATGGGACGGGAATGGGCACGCCAGAGAGCGATGGCCTTTACAACCGGGCAGCCGAATCGGCCACACACCCTTCCGCGAGGCTTCGGGGGTGGCGCGGGCTAGTAGACAACCAATCAATGATACCAAACAACAATGCCCTATTTGTTCAAACCTATTTCGTGTAACCACTGCTACTCTCGTGATGTGATTGCTTGCGCCGTTTGTATGAATTTTTGGGGTCGGTACGGAGTAAGTCATGGGGAGATCACAGCAGCAGCCGTGTCCGTCTGCGTCGCAGCTCGGTCCCCCGCGGTGGCAT